CCTTAAGGAATTGTAGGCAGTGATTCATCAGAGAGACAACACATCCCAAACAACTAGAAGGTCAACTACTCCTTAAGGCAAAAATATTTTGCAGTGATTTATAGCCATATCTGGGAAAATAAAGCTCCTGCATGGTGAAAACAGGCAAATAATAGATTGAGAAGAATTTCTTGTCATCAACTCAGTGCTCTTCTCACAGAAACATCACACTCTTTACATACTGTAACAAAATTAAGTTTTATTCTGTTTTATTAGTAATGGATGTGGAATAGCCAGTTGAAGAGTTGGACTGATGTATCTTTCTCTTTTGAGCAGTGTTTAATATTCTAATACAGTTCAGATGTAACATTTACACTGAAAAATACTTACAGATTCAACCTCATACTCAAAAAATTCCTACTGCAAATACAGTTAGTACAGTAAAAAATGAACAACAACAAAAACAATCCCAGAAACTTTGTAACAGCACAGACTGGTTATGGCCTTGAGTTAAGTTCAAGTATTTCCCAGTGGAATGCAATGCAAGCAACAAGGTAATCTGGCTTTTACATGGGACATTCCTGGCCCTGAATGGTAAGAATAGAAATATAAGTGTGGGCACTTAATCCGACCAAGTTTAGCAAGAGAGTCAACATTTATGATTAGTTCAGCTGCAAAGCTAAACTCCTCTTGTGTGGGAACAAAACTACTATCCTGTGAAGAAAAAAAAGCAAAGCATTAATTATACTACTGGCATTTCTTCTGCCTCCTGTCATCTAATTGAAATTCCTTGAGCTGCCAGTTTAGTTTGTAATGGTTGTGATGGGAATCTTGCTTGTAGTTAGGCATATTTTGCCTATCTTTTTCCTTCCCAAACTGACACAATCAAATAAGGGATCTTTGCTCTTTCCTTGAAAGTAGTCACTTCTGCAGACATTAATTTATGTCTGTCACCTTCATGGCAGTGACTCAATGGAAAGATGCAATACCTGACAGGCTTTAGAGTCCAAGGAGTAAAGGAGGAAGGGGGTAAGTGAGCAACTCGGTATACATAATAATAATAATCCTTTATATTTCTGGGGCTCTCTGATTCATGCTGGCTCCTGTGTATGGCTCAGATGTGATCTGGCAGAACTGAGGTCAGAGGAGTCAGCAGTGTCCCCCAGGCTGGCTGGGACTTTGCAGGAAACTGTTTCTCTCCCAGGCAGCCCACACCACTACAGCAATCCTGCCAGGAATATGCTTCTGTGCTTCTGTCCCTGTCAAAACACTTGGAAAACATGGGGAAGCAAGATTAGCTGTCATTCGGAAAGCATTTTATGCAAAGAAGCATTTCAAGCCTGATAGATGAGCAGGGCTGGCTGGAAGGATGGCTGAGAGAGCAGTTACCCTATCTATCTCCCTGCCCAACGAGTAGGTTGTATTGATTGCCCAAGATTCTGCCCTGGCTCTAGTACTCATCAATATTGCAATTATTGACTCTTACTTTGGAAAACAGTGTGTGCGTATTAAATGTATGGTGACACCAGCCAGGAGGAGGCTGCAAATCTGCTGCAGACCAACAGACCACTCAAAACCCTCTTACTGCGGTATGAAAATAAAAAGGCAGTTTGAAGGATGGCAGGAAGATACTGACTGTACAAGCCCACATCTGAAGAGGGGAGCAATCCCCATGTCTGCAGAAGATGTGGGTTTGGAGAGGACCAGGGTGGCAGATGCATGAATAAAGAGGAGAAGAGTGGGAAGATGTGACCTTGCTGATGGTGGTTCAGAGACACCAAGGAAGACCATGCTAGGAAAGCAGCCCTTGGATAAAAGTTGATGACACTGGAGTTATTTAGCTGACAGCAGACTTGAGGAAGATAAAAACAGCCTTCTAACACCTGAAAGCTTCTGCAGACATTAAAGGCATGAGACATTCTCCATGTCTGCTGAGGAGAGGAGACACGACAGGTTGCAGCAAGGGGGCATCATGTTAGCTATTAAGGAGACATTTGATGGTGCCAAGTTGGCAAGAAGAGCTGTAGTCCTTTCCAGCCCTGTTGCTCTGAATATTTCTGATCCTGCAGTCATGGAGCCCTAGGATCTCCCCTTGAGCACTGGCCAGCTGTATCAGTGGGGCAGGGGATATAGCCCTGGTGTATAAAATAGGTTTAATGAATCCGTCAAGTCTCTGTGACCAGGTTCTGGGGGTTTTGGCTTAAAATCTGCCCCCTGCTTTCCCCATGGTGAGGTGTTGGCCAGGATGAAGCAAGTGCAAGGGAGGCACATGCCTATCCCTCTGTTTGGTGACTTGGTGAATCCACAGGTCAGCAGGAGCTGAGGGGCTGATGTGAGTCATTGGAAAATGCTCATGCCATGGCTGGGGCTAAAGAAAGTTTCACTGTTACGGGCAGGAGCAATCCGAAATCCAGACTCCTGCACAGGACTGGGCCTTACAGCATTGCATGGGAAGGACAAGTTTATCTCGGGCTGTGATACTGCTGCTTATTGGGAAGGAATCTGAAAAACCCAGGCAGCATCCAGCCATCACTCTCTTCAGAGTTTCCATCTTTCCCTTGAGATAAGGACTTTAAATACACACTGTTTCCTATGGGACACACAGCTGGCAGTAAAAGAAGTCACATTGATGTGGAGGACAAGCTTTGTGCGCTGGACAGCTGTAATTATTAAGGAACAAATTTCTACCCAGCAGCACCTCTTCTCTCCTCCCCAGCAGCCCTGGTCTGTGGACCTGCATATATTTGTCTTTATGACAGCAGCACCATCAGCAAACAGCCTCTCCTGCACAGTGCAGCACAGCCCCAGCCCAGAAGGAGCACACATTCCCAAACAAAGAACAAGGACAAACAGCATAGTTGGATATGTTTGTCTCCCCACCACTGTGGTGTGGGCTTTCTGAGCCTTTCATGCAAATTTCATGGCAAGATGGGCCATCCTTGCATGCAGTGGATGTGTATTACTACTGACTGTTGATGCTGGGGGGATGCATTGGTCCTCTTCATGGATGCAGTTTTCCATTTTCAGGGAGAAGATCTGTAGCAGCTGGAGCAGGCAGTACTCCAGGCATTTTATGCCTTCAGCAGGACCAGGAACAAGCCTGAAACTTCCCCAGACTGTTATGCAAAGCCATACTAAATATTTTCAGCTGGATATCTCATAGGATGTTTCTTTGCTTTCTTTTTAAACCTACTTTTTAGCTGCTGGCACTGTACTCTAATGGCATGGCACAGCTCAGCTGAGGTTCCCAGGAGCTGAAGGCGATTCCCAAGTTCTCTGCCTGGTCCCCAGAATGGCCAAAGGGCCCAGCCACCTTCAAAACAGGCATCCTCAGGACTTTCACGGACTGATCTTAAGGACATGAGAAAGATACCCAGTGAGAAGTCATGAAGATCCAATGGATCAGAAATACTGGCATGGAGAACTGCATGAGCCTTTGTGTGGCTGGCACAGCCATGAGGGAACAGCTTGCATAAGGATGGTTCTGTGGGTTTACTTTTTTGCATTAGGTTAGATCTTGGAGGCTTTGCCTGTTTGGGTTCTCCATGGCGGTGAATCAGTCACTGGAATCCTGGGAGGCTGTGAGAGCATCTGCCAAGCCACAGGCATCTTGGGAACATCTCAGGGGTCAGACCAGCTCTGATACATGACAGAATCGGGCAGTTACTGGTTTCAGCCTCTACTATTTGGCAGGAATAAGCACAAGGACATGCTCCTCGTGCTCACGGTGATGATGTTTTCTTTCTATTTTGTGTTACTGGAAGGGAACAAAGCCATAGCCCAGCAGCTGTACAAGACATATGGGATGAAACCACCCTGAAAAAGCATGTCCTTGGCACCAGAAGGAGCCTTGTTGCTCAGCAGCTTGATTTTAACATGCCCCCAGACTCTGTAGATGCATGAAAACCACCCTAAAACCAAGCCAAGCTGAAAAAATCTCCTCATGGACTAGGGAGAAAACTTCTTGCTACTGTCCTGGTCTTGCCCCCACTGAAGCCAGATCACATTGCTAAGGACCCCCAACCAAGTGTGTGAAACCTGCCAGTTCCCCAGGTGAGGCTGGGAGGTAGAAGCCCAAAGGCTGCTCCAGGATGTGAGCAGCCATAGTCCTGGACCAGCTGGGTTTCCCAGGGGAGGTGGAGGGCTGTAAAATTACCAGAGGGTTGATATTACATTTTTATATATATATATATATCTATGTCTATATTCACACACACATGTTCATATGTGGCTGTATATATACGTACATGTATACACACACCATGCATAGACCTGCCATCTGCCACTATTTATAAGGGTTCGATTAAACAGGAAAACAAATTTGCCAACACTGATCTTCCAGTCTCTAGTAAAATTCAGCAAATCAAGAAGTCTAAACCCTTTACGGTTTTGTTTTCCTGGTTGCGTAAAGGCACTTTCTGGTGATGTGAAGCAGCAGTTTGTTAAAAACAATGGAACTGCAACGATTCCCATCACATCCGTAGCAAGTGCTGCACAGGCACCGGTATGACGCTATGTCACTGCTTGCTCCTGCTGTGTAGTGTTTGGTCATTTTGCTTTTTGCTTTGATGCAGAGGAATAAAAGACAAAAACTTTCACGCTGTGCTATACTTTTAGGTCTCCCTGTGTAAGGCAATCACTGTGTTTCTGCCCCATAGCTTGATGTGGGTGCCAGCTTGTGGCTTGCAGCATCCAGCCATGCCTTCATTTCCAGCGATGCCTGCTAGAGCATCTAACAGTTCAGGTGGGACATCAGCTGTAAGTGTGTCATGAAGGTTCATGCAATATGTCAGTTGTTTTTTTTTGCTTATCAAGGGATCAGGAATTAATTTTGATTAAGGATATTTAGTAATTAAACACTGCCTGACCTACAGCACTCTAGCCTTGGCATGGCGAAGAGCTGCTCGCTGCTGGCCTGACTTCTCTTCTGAGCCACCAGCAGCTCCTCTTCCCGTTATAACATGCTGTCCAGTCTCTGAAGGGGGCTCCAGTGGTGACTGAAGGGGTAGGAGATGTCGGGGGGTTGCTGTTTGCTCACTGGAAGTTGCCAGCTGGAGAACGTGTTGGAAAAAGGGAAGAAATGTCTTTTGTTAACACACTGGAAGACAGCACTAAATTGGTCTGAAACTCCTTTTCTCTCTTAACTCTCATATAAAAATTGCGCCTGTGCCCTGTGAAATGAATGCAGTAACCAAAAAACAGAAACAAACCAAAATAAAGCTCCCACTTACACTGCCCTCTCTCTTTTTAGACAAAGCTATATCCAGACTGATGTCTTTCCATCTTTACTGCTTGAGCTTCCTTTCTCCAAGCTGGCCTTGGGTTTAGCACCTTGTTTCTCTTGAGCGATGTTGGCCCTGTTCTGCTCTATCACTGTGCCACCCGAGGCAGGACTGCTGGTTCGAGAAGGTTGTGTGTTGCCCTGGGTGCTGCTGTAGCTCTGAAATGCTATGTCTAACTGCTCCTGGGCCACTCGTAAGTGTTTGTGAAGGGTGGACAAGTCTGCCGGGAGGTTCTCATCTGGGCTGGTGCACTGCTGCTCCTGAGCAACGTTAGCCAAGTTCTGCTCATGAGCCATCAGGCTGTTGGGGATCTTGGTGGACTTCTCTGATTTCACTACCAGGTTGTACTCAGGAGGGCAGGAGATGTTCTTTGGGTAGGCATAATTGTACGGGGGTTGCCTGAAGCTGTTGATTTTCCGGTTGCGAATGGCATCTCGGATGGTCCCAAACCCCAAGTGAAACATCTCACACATGTTCAGCAATAAGCACAGGCAGCTCACCACGTACATCACCAGGAGAAAGATGGTCTTCTCTGTTGGCCGAGACACAAAGCAGTCAACAGTGTGAGGGCAAGGGACTCTGTTGCAAACATAATAGGCTTCTACCTCAAAGCCATAGAGTAAATACTGCCCTATCAAAAAACAAACTTCAAATGAAGCTCTGGTAAGTAGCTGAAAGACATAGATTTTCATCAGTCCTTCTTCTTGGATACGCCTCCTCCCATCATGCTTTTGCTGCTCTTTGCTCTTGGGCTTGGCTTTGGCTTTCTCACGTTCTGCTGTGTCATCAGAGATCATGGGCTCATCTTCATCAGCCTCCATCGCCTCCTCCATGTTGCGCACTGCCTGCCAGTTCAAAGCAAACTGCTTCTTCTTCTTGAATCCCTTGAACTTCTTCTCCTCCTCCGCCGACCGTGCGATCCTGTGGATGGCATAGCCCAGGTACATGACCGAAGGGGTGGATATCATGATGATCTGGAAGACCCAGAACCTGACGTGTGACAGCGGCGCGAAGGCATCATAACAGACATTGTCACAGCCAGGTTGTTTGGTGTTACAGGTGAACTTGCTCTGCTCATCAGAGTAGATGGACTCCCCTCCCACCGCTGTCAGGACAATGCGGAAGACGATGAGCACGGTGAGCCAGACCTTCCCCACAAAGGTGGAGTGATTGTGAATCTCTTCTAGCAGGCGAGTTAGAAAGCTCCAGCTCATGTTGGTCATAAGGGCTATTCAGTTATAACCTGCAAGAAGAGGGGGGAAATAAATAACATAGCTGTTAAGTTAACATCTGTGCTGCAGTCAGTGATACGGCTGTGACACTGGCACATCTGTGACAGATTAAGTAATTTTATCTCAAAGAAGCACCTTTCGCTGCTGTAGCCCATCTCCCTGGAACCTGCAATGGATCATGACATGGGGCTGACCATGAGAGTGCAGCATCAGGGAACGAGCTGTGGCCAGTGTGGGAACATGCTGCACGACTGTAAACAGAGGCAGAGATACCTGCTGGTACTGGATAAACAAAGATGAATAACACAACAAGCCACAGCACCTACTATCTTCACCATTACCAGCTTTGCTGCCTGTTTCAAGATGTTGCTGTTGCTGTAAGAAGGGTTTGGGTGACTGTAAAAGTGAATGCAAGGCACCATGGAAGCCACCTAGGAATGAAAAGGTGGTTAGCTTGTGATAATCTCTTGCCTGCATGCCATGTGCTCAAGCGCCTGAGCTGAAAATGGGAATAGAGGATGCTGTCCACAACACAGAGTTCCACTGCTCAAATATCTTTCATTAGCAAACCCAGAAAAATGCAAAGAATCAGCAAAAGAATGGGAATATTTATGTTTACAGGCCGATGGCCCTTTTAAGTTCCTTTTGAAAAAAATAAAACAAAACAAAACAAATGTTTAATCAAATACAGATTGTTTTAAAAATAAATCTTGAAAAATTTTCAGAGAAAAACATGCATTTATTAGACCTAGAGACAGCTGTGGAGGAAGAGCTTGTAATAACCATTTTGTGTGTAGCTTAACATGCAGTGGGGCCTCAGCCTGGGCTCCTTGGGTAACACCAGGCATCATTAAGGGCAGAAGGCAATTTTACTGCTTGACTGGCAGCAGCCCTGACAGATACCTCGATACCTGGAGCTGGGTAGATTTAGGTTAGATATTAGGAAGTTCTTGCCTGTAAAATTGGTGAGGCCCTGGCACAGGTTGCCCAGAGAAGCTGCGGCTGCCCCATCCCTGGCAGTGTTCAAGGCCAGGTTGGACAAGGCTTGGAGCAACTTGCTCTAGTGGAAGGTGTCCCTGACCATGGCAGGGGGGTGGAATTGGATGAGCTTTAAGGTCCCTTCCAGCCCAAACCAGTCTGTGATTCAATGAGCAATAGGGAAAGCACCCAGACCCAAAGAGCCCTGTGACAGGGAACAGTGGGGCTCTTACCCCAGGACAACAGGGAATGGGCTCATCCTTTCTGCTCCCCTGCATCCCTCCTCTGAATGATGTTCCACCTTGTTAGTGAGTTTACCCACTTTGTTTCCACACAGGTACTTGATAGCAGGCAGTAAATTAGGCATCTGTGTGCCCTATCCCATCTGTGAACTGACACCTACCACTGCACCGAGAACTGCAAAGAGTGTATATGTTGGTGGCAGATGTAGGAACCAAGAACATGAGCATGGACAAGAGCAAGTTAGCACGGGATAGCACATGGCAATGGTGTGTTATGGCTCAGCACAAGCTACTCCCCTGCAGTGCTCCACAAACACGAAGAGGAAGAGGAAGGAACTGTTGTCCATATATTGAAAGAGTATGGACTTCAAACCTACCCCTCTATGCTGGTAAGCATGGCTCAGTGGAGGTAAAATGAGGTACAAGCCTGGTCCTAACCTGGTTTTGCATCTCTTTTATACGGAGACACAAAATTAAGCCCTAGGATCTCCATGGCACAAGCTGGGTTTTAAGCTCATCAGCCACACCAGGTGCAGGGCGGGAGCAGCCACCAGCATCAGCCATGGGCACAGCCCCATGCAGGAGCAAGAAGGGGAAATGTGCCTTGCTCTGTTCTCCATATCAAGCCTTTCTGGAATGCGGTTTTGCTCACGCTGCTTCCCAGGACAGGAGCCAAACAGCCCTGGTTTGCTCAGTGCTTGCCTTCGTGCTGCCCCGGGAGGTAGCAGTGCAGCCCAAGGCTCAAGATGCAGTGAAATTCTTCTGCTGTCAAGGGCTCTCGAGACCAGGCAGATGGAATTTTCTAACTTTGCTATTTCTAGATCAAACAAATCCTCTGCGAACCCAAACCCCCAAGTCTTCACATGCCAGAATGAGACTGTGGGAGTGCTCTGCAGATGGTGTTATTCTTGTCCTGTAGCTGGAGAAACTGAGGCAGGGAGCAAAGAAACAGCTCACTCCAGGCTGGGTAATAACAGCTGTAAGAAGCTGTAATAACAGGCTGTAATAGGCCAGAAGAAGAGGTGGGGAAGTTCTCCTCTCTGCCCTCAACTTACCCTGAAGAACAACAGCCCTCAAAGTTGCTGGGACCAGAAACCCTATCACCTGCACCAAAAGTGATGCCTTGGACCCAATGGTCAGCACAGAAGCACTGCTGCAGATAGGGCAACTCAGCTACTGCAGAAAAATGTGGAAAGCAATCCCCACAGAGCTATTCTTTATTGAGGAAATTGAGGTTACTCAGGGGTGAGATGGGAAAGCATCTCCTCAAAGTGCCTTTTTTGCTTCTTTAAAGTGGATACACTCTAAAGTGTTTAATCCTTCCTCTGATTGGCTTCCCCATTCAGATATGGGCAAATGGGGCAGATATGGGGCGTTAAATGATTTGCAGGATTAATCTGGGCACTCGGCCAAGCTGCAGCTGACAGGGGGCTGGGAAGGGAAGACCCCACTGAGTGCAGCTATGGCCCACTGTGGGGCATGGTGCATCTGTCTGTGGAGCATCCGGGTCCAGCTGAGGCAGGGTTGGGGCTTGGGTTGAGCACACACTGGCCCCAGATTGGCTGGCCACACACCAGCTCCCATCTGCAGCCCCAGCTAGCTGCAAACCCCATGTTGTTCTAAAACGCAAGCTTCAAATGTCCTGTAGAGCAGTTCCTCTATAATTTCAGTGCTCACCTAGTTTGTGAGGTTTGCATCAAGGTTAATTCACCGTTTTGCAAGTGTTACTTAAGGACACAGGGGGGTTGTAACTAGATGATCTTAAGGTCCTTTCCAACTCTGACTATTCCATGATTCTATGACACAATTCCCAAAGCTCAGGCTCACCTCCCAACAGCTATTTGCTGGAGCAGGGGTAGTCTAACCAAGGTAATGAGGGCTTTTGAAGTAAATATTCAAGTTTTGATCTGAGAATAGTCAGGACTGTCAGCAAAGCACCCACATTTTAGAAAGGGGCACCCAATAGCATTGGTTCAAAACACTCACAAACCTCCTGAGTCAAGGAAAAGGAAGAAATTGAAAGAAAAACGCAGAACTGGTAGACAGTTGCTTTGAGAAGACCACCTCTTGTTACCAGCTCCCAGCCCGAGCTGTTGGTCCTGACACTGACCTTGCAGCTCAGCCCTCTATGCACATCTGGATCTGCAGGAACATCTGCAGGAAACAGCCTCAAGCTGTTTCTATGCCCTTAGGAGCCCACTGTTGTCTTTGTGTATGATCACACCTTGATGTTATGCTCTCATGTGTCCACCCACTCTCCTGGCACCGTATTTGAAAGCAAGAACTAAAGGAAACGAGTTAAAAACCCCTCCTGCAACCACTTCAGTTAAACTTGAAGTGCTTTTTTGCAACTTACTATCTAGAAAGACTACTATGAGATTTCAGTGCCATTAATTGCTTGGGGGAAGTTTATTATATTTTGGAAACAATTATAAGGCAACCAAGCTTCCAAGGAAGGATTTGTTCACATTGCTTTTGCTGATGAATAGGATGGTGCTAGGGAAAGATTATATACCTCATCTCCTCAACTATCAAAGCACAAAAAATGGATTTTTGCATCTTCCATGTGCTTGAGACCTAATTCCTCCATGTAGTAGGAAAGTTTCACAGTCCAGCACCCTGGGGAAAAATCCCTGTGTGGGTCTAGAGCAGGTAGGTGGATTAGATTAAGTGGTTTATGTAGCTAAATTATCTGCCAGAGAGATTGCATGAGAGGACCCACCATCCCTCTGGCTTTGAAATCCATTCATTCAGTCCTCTATCTTCACACGTCACCTCCAGTCTAGCTGACATGCAGTGTGTGAAACACACAAGGGGTACAAGTTTCACTTTAAAACAGCTACAAAGGAGGACTTGGACCATTCAACCCACCAGTAACACTTAAAGTACTGAAAACTCTGTAGCCAGGTGCTGGAATGAGCTGTTGGCGCCACATTCTCATCATGGTTACTTCCCAAAACCCACTGATCCCTCTGCGCAATCACAGCCATAACTGTTGGAACTGGTAAAACGTTAAAATCTGAGTCTAACAGAAGCAGAAGAAGGAACAGAATAAACAGAGAAAAACATCTGTGCTAGCTGGATGTCTTTCGTTTCTGAGCAATTCCCACACCCGTGCTTAAATTTCAGGGAAAACAATGGTAGAAACCCGACTTACAGAGACATGGTGCTTCCCGTGGTGGCTTTCCCTCCTGCGCCGGCATTCCTGTGCTGCCAGCCCTCCGCCTTGCCCTAGATAAACTCCTGCTGCCTCGGTCCAGCCATGCTCCAGCGGTTGGAAACCGGAGCTCAAGGGAAGTATTTGACGTGCCGTCAAACTCCGCCTCTGCAGCGGCCAGGCACCCACCGCCGAGGTCCTGCCCCAGCTGCCTGCACCCATACAGCCTGTCCCGCTGCCACTACTGGCCCCCCTTTCCCTCGCCAAGCCATGGGAGAAGGAGAGAAGGTGTTATATGTAAATAGAAATATATATATATCCAGGAAGAATGGGGCACTGGTTTTAAATCCAAACAAGTCACCAGGTCTGGTTTTAGGAACACTGCCTGGAATTTTGCTGCTGAGCTCTTAAGCTGGGTGGAAGTAAATTAATAGCATCAGCTAGTGGCACTGGTAACAGATTTGTAAGACAGAGAGCATGACTAATAGGGAACATGTGGAAAACACATTTTGGCAAAAGTTCCTTGGTTGCTGGGGAAAAATACAGAAAGAGGCAAGGCTCACTGGTGAGGAAAACTGCTCTGAAGCTCCTTCTTTGCTGCAGCTTTCTCTGAAAGAGGTGGTGCACCTCCCTC